CACTGTCAAGCTGAAGCGCCCAGACTTCCTTATAAATATTTATTACATGGACACTGCACTTAACAGAATGAAGGGAACAAGATGTTTAACAACTCATGTCCTAGAGAATCCATGCGTACCTTTATCTTTTTCTCTTCTCTGTCATCTCCTTGCTATCCTCCGTTCCTACTTCCTACTGTGGAAGCTTATATTTTTAGCTGCTTTTATAAATTAATGTATCTGTTGCCTAGGGGGAAAAAGTCAACAGATCTTTACCAAATTCCCATGTGAGCTAAGAAAGCTGCCAAGAAATTGCTGGTTAACAGGACCCTAACCTTAACATGCTTAGGGCTGAAAGGGAGGAAGACATAAACAATTGAAATGTCAAAGCAGAGGGAATAAATTCCAAGGAAAGTACAGCTTTTTAGGGAACACAAGAGAGGAGGACCAGCTCTTACTGGGGAAGTTAGTAAAGGACTTCCAGAAGTGATACCTGAGCCAGCGCTGGGAATACATGGGACTTTTCCAGATGGATGAGCTGAGGAGAAAGTCATTGAAGGAAAAAGCAACACCTTGTGCAAAGACATGTGCAAAGTCATGTAATTATGCGGCACCTTTGGAGAATAATAGCTGATTTGTTCTAGGAGACCATGAATTCATGCTGTATCCTCAACATCTAGAACAAGTGTAGCAAGGTAACCACTAAATAAATACTTGTTGGATAGATGGATGGAAGGAAGGGAACCTGGAAGATTTAAAAAAAAAAAAAAAGTGCCATGATAAAGAGTTCTGCTTAATAACATTTAACAAGTGTCTACCATGGAAACTCAAAGAGAATTAGGACGAGCTATTGTTCGTAGTTTAGTTGGCAAGAAGTAACAAAAAATATCTGTAATATGCCATAAAAAATAATATGCCATGAAAAGTGCGCTGAAAATGTTAGGAGCTATAGAGAATTTGTTCCATCTCAGTGAAGGAGACCAGGAAGGTTATCATGAGAGCCATATACTCTTTGGAGTTGCTTGGTTGTGAATTGTTTGGTTCCAAAAGCAAATGTGTGTGGAGTGGAAGAAAAGGTGGTGAGGCAGAAGAGAAATGTGACTTTGGGAGTAAACTTGACAACCTTGCCTGTTCAGAGCCATGAATTTATCAGCACTTTTAGGCAGCCATTTATCAGCCTGCACCACTTCCTTGCAAGCAGAACCTAACAGCTTTGATGTTTTCTCTAGCAAGCTCCTTTTTTTTTTTTTTTTTTTTTTTTTTGGTTCATGAGGAGGGGTGTGTGTGTGTTTGCTTGTACCTGCACAGTAGCGATTCAGAGGGGGTTCTTTCCACAGACAAGTACTAAAACACACACTATTAATAACTTTGTTTTTAAAGATTTATTTTTTTATGCATATAAGAACTGAGGTACAGGCCAGAGGTGTAGGGGGTGAGAGGATTCACCAGTAACAGAGTGGGGAGCAGAACATGCAGATGTACTGAAATACACTGCTGAGGGGAGCAGTGGGCAAGTCAGGAGAGGTCTGCTGCGCCATGTGAATACTCCCAGGGATCGAACTGTTGCTTCAGTGGCTGCGGATAGCTTCATAGGTTGCGTCTTAACCCCTTGCGCCACCAGGGAGGCCCTTAACAACTTTTAACAGTGTGTCTGGCTACCCACATACTTACATATGTATGCATGCACCGGCAGCATGTACACATAGAAGCACAGAGTCCTGTGAGTGGTGAGCTGGGCAACATTTCAGGTGATTGCAAATGAATAGTAGTCATTTTTAATTTTCTGAGGTCTATTCTGTCTGGCTATACCTTAATTATCATTTCAGTATGAGACTTATTAGGCACTAGTTATATCCTCATGACCTACTACATGCTAGAAAGAGTTCATGTAAGAAAATTATTGATTAATCCAGTACATACTTATTCATCATCAGCTGTGCACTAGGCACTATTCTAAATACTGAGGATGTGACATGGGAAAAAAAGAACCAATCCCTACCCTTGTAGAGTTTGCATTCTGGAAGGTGGGTGCAGACAAGCAACAAAAATGTGCTTTTTCAGCTGGTGTGTTCTAGTGAGACCATCATAGCAGGGTGAGGGGGAAAGAGAATGTGGGGGTTGAGTGATCAGGAAGACCTCTTCAATAGAGTGATGTTTGAATTGAGACTTGAAGGGAAGAGTAAGCAATGGAAATATCTGGGGGAGTATTCCAGGCAGAGATAACATCTGAAGCAAAGACCCTGAAGCAAGAATATGTTTGGTAGTGTTTAAGGCCAGTGTAGCTAGAGCAGAATGGGCAAGGTGAGGAGATGTGGCAGGAGATGAGGTGGGAGATGTAGGATGAAGGACCATTCTGTCAGGCCCATTGACCCTGATGAGGACTTTGGCTTTTACTCTGAGTGAGGTGGAAAGCCACTAGAAGTTTTATGCAGAGAATTGACATGTTCTGATTTGCATCGTGTTCTCTGGTCTCCGTGTTGAGAGTAGATTGCAGGATGAGAAGGTGGAAGCAGGAAAACTACACATGGTAGCCTCGACCAACTGAATAACATTTAGGTGCAGAGAAATGGTCAAAATGTAGATCTCTTTTGAATTGCTTGAATCCACAGGATTTGCTAATGGATTACTTGTAAAATGTGAAAGGAGTCAATGATGATGTCAAGATCTTTGGTCTATACAACTGGAAGTCTGGAGTTCTTAACAGCTGAGATGGAAAAGACTGCAGGAAGAACAGATTTGTAGGCTATCAAGAGTCAATTTTGAACCCATTAAGTTTGAGGTACCTATTAGTGAAGATTTGGATATAAGACACGAGTTTAGTAGATGGACCTAAGCTGGAGATATAAATTTGGGAATTGTAGTAGCAATTAGATGTCTTTTTAAGTTGTGAAACTACATAAAATAACTTAGGGCGTGGGAGTAGAAAGAGAAGGGAGAGCGCCTGAGAATTGAATGTTGGTGCAATCTAATGCTTAGAAATCAGGCAGATGAGAAGAAACCAATATGGGCGTGGAAAGATAGAGGCCAAGGAAATGAAAATGGAGAGGAAGCACTGAAGATTTTCTGAATAGAGAAAGTTCTTCAAATAGGAGAGAATAATAACTTTCTGAAAAATAAACTGCTGAATAAAGTTCTTCAAAGATGAGAGAATAATAAACTATTATCAGCTGTTGCTGAGAGGTCAAGCAAAGCCCTAGCATTGATTTAACAGGACTGAAGTCTTTGGCAATATTTGGGAGGGGGGGAGTAGTTGATCCCTGATTTAGACTATTCTTGGAGAAAAGAATAGGAAAAACTTTGAAGTTTTACTATAAAGAGCAGTAGAAAAACAGAGCCAAATGAAGGGGAATGTGGGATCAAACTTTTATTTTTTCCTGAGATGGGAGAAGTTGGTGTCCTGATGGGAATGATCCGACTATGGATAGAAAATGATGCAGCAATTCCAGAGAAGGGGAGCATTGTGCAGGTGGCATCCCATGGAGGTGGGAGGGTATGCACAAGGGAAGGAAGATGCCTTAGAGTGAGTGGACGAACTGTCCCTGCTTTCTAATAAAGAGTACTTGGCCACTGATGCAGGCAGGTTGGTAGATGTGATGCAGCATGTGTAGATTCTTTTTTGATTGCTTATATTTTCCTCATAAAATAAAGGGTGGTGGCAGGTGTGGGTTGATACATACAACTTCCGAGGTGAGAAACTATACAGCTGAGACCTATGCAGTATTGTAAACCAGTATTGTAAAGGGGGAGGTTGGAGGTGTAGGGAGTTTAAAGTACGTTCAAAGGTAGTTGCCAACGACTAGGAGAAAGTCATGGCTAGATGAAAGCAGTGGGATTGTCGGGCAACCTGAGGGCCCATCTGAATTTAAAATAAGATCATTCAACATAGCCAGACTGATTTTCTCCAGCTGTGTACAGCTGAGTGGAAATAGGCAGCGTAGGCAGAACATTGCTTGGCCGGGATTGTAGTTTTCCCAGATACATCAGAGGAATGGAGAGAGAAGCAAGGAAATGATTGTAATGATGAATCACAGAAATGCAGTAGGGTAGGGAGGGAAATAAGAGCAGAAAGAAGGGGGAAATGAGCAGTGGCAGGATTAAAGGAGTGGAGGTCCTAGGGGTCTAAAGAATTGTGATAATCAAATCCGTGCTTTTTTTAGTACTTCGGTGTTGGATACAAAGTGCCTTGAGTACATTTGCATAATAAAAACCCGTAAGATAGGTAGGGCAGATGGTGGTGGTGTTGATTTTTATTATAGAGATGAGGGAAAAATCTAAAGATCCAAAGAGGTAAATAGCTTAATCTAAATTCACGCAGCAAGTTAGTTGTAAAGCACAAACTCAACTGAGAGCTCTCCATTATATGCATTATCTTTTCACCACACTAATTGCTCAGTCTATTGAAGAGATGAAATGAAGAAGAGTACATAAGGGTTCTTTCATTCAATAATACATATTGAGCATTTAATATGTGTATATTCTGTTATAAATACTAGGAATATAGCAGAAAATGAAACAGAAAAAAGAAATGCTGAAGTTACATGTTGTGATTCTTCCAAGGCATCACGATTTGGTAAAAAGAATGTTATACTGAAAGTTAAGAAATTAGTTTTTCTGCTATTTGCTGTGTGATATTTTTGCTTCAACTCACCATGGAGTCTCTCTCCATAAACTGAAATGTTAAGGTTTTGCAAGTTCTACACAACTTAAGGATACTGTGGGTTTGTGTCTATTCTATCCTAACGGGCTAATTCCTCTACTGTGTTTTACTCTTTATCAAAATTCTTGATCTGAAAAGTGGGAATGCTATATCTCATTTCATTGTGGAAGACCCTGTTTCCATAGTGAAATGCTACACTAACGTTCCTTCTAATATCACCCTCCTTTTTTGAAATTCTGGGGAAATAATGAAAGGGAGAATAAGGGTGTGTTCAGCCTGCAGCACGAGAGTAACCAAGTGATGCTGAGGAAAGCTTTGAAATGACTAATGGCCTGTTTCCCTGTTCTTACCCCTTCCTGCTCAGGCTTGGAAGAAACGCTGGTTTATCCTGCGGAGCGGCAGGATGAGTGGCGACCCAGATGTTCTGGAGTACTACAAGAATGATCACTCCAAGAAGCCCCTGCGGATCATCAACCTGAACTTCTGTGAGCAGGTGGATGCAGGCCTGACTTTCAACAAGAAGGAGCTGCAGGACAGCTTCGTGTTTGACATCAAGACCAGCGAGCGCACCTTTTACCTGGTGGCCGAGACAGAGGAGGACATGAATAAGTGGGTCCAGAGCATCTGCCAGATCTGTGGCTTCAATCAGGCTGAGGAGAGTACAGGTAGGACAAAAATGGATCTTCCACCGAAGTAACAAGGTGCTTTGTAGAGGAGGCTTAGTAATTGGATACACTGAGCCCCTTGAGCAAGGAGAGCAGGCTGTAGTTAGAAGCATTCCTCTTTGGAGAGGAAGAATAGGCAAAGGGTCAGATATGAAAGGGTTGGCCAAATTCTAAAGGGACCCTTGGCCCCAATTAGGCTCAAATGGGAAAGGAGGAAATGTTGGAATTGTGGTGAAGCTGAAAGTACTTTGAGGTGTTCCTTCACCTACCTGTTCCTCAGCCCCACACCCTGCTCCCCTGTACTTTCCCTGCTGCAGCACCCTGTGCCCTGTTACCTACCAGCCATCCCATGGGGCAGTCACACCTTGGCACTTTCTTGAGTCCATCTTTGTCTGTTTAACCCATTTATTTCAGACCATCCTGTATAGTTACACTTGCCACTTTTAAAAAAAAAATTGAAATCTTTTATTATTGACGTACGCACCATTTATACACCAGTTCATTTATGTTCACTTGGCAGGGGAAATGGGTGAAAGATGGAAATACTGATTTATGTTCAGGCTTTGTTAACTTTCACAAGAGAGGAGCTCAACTTCTGAAATGAATTTTAAATTGCAGAAATGCTCTGTGATGCCAGTTTGGACTCACCCCCAACTCTGGGATGACTGTAGAGCAGGTCTTTTCAGAGGCAGGCAGAAAACCAAAACCAGTAGTTTTTAAACCTGATTTCACATCAGAATTAAAAAGAATTTTTAAAATAGTGATGTCAAGGCCCCAGGCCAATCAGTTAATATCGAATCTCTGAGAGGTGAGACCTGGACTGTGGTGTCTTAAGAGCTTCATTATGAGAAGCAAGAGTCTGGGGATCCGCAACCATTTTCTAGAAATATATTAGATGACTTACAGTCTCTGTTTCATAGTCCTGTTTTTATCCTTTTTTAACCCTTTTAAAAATATAAAAATCATTCATAACTCACCAGCAATACCAACATCATATGAGAACCCGTTAGGAAAATGCAAATTCTTGAACTCTATCCCAGACTTACTGAATCAGACACTCTGGGGATGGGGCCCAGCAATCTGTATTTTGAAAAACTCTCCAGGTGGGCTTCCCTGGTGGCCTTGGGGTTAAGTCTCAGTGCTATCACCACTAAAGCCTGAGTTCAATCCCCAGCCGGGAGCTCACCCACATATGGTACAGCAGACCTCTCCTGTCTCGCCCACCATTCCCCTTAGCAGTGTATTTCAGTAAAATCCACCTGTTGTGCTCCACACTCTGTCTCTGGTGAATTCTCTCACCCCCGTACCTCTTGCCTACACCCCAGTTCTTCTACAAATAATTAAACAAACAAACAAACCCTCCAGGTGACTGTGATTCAGGAATAAGATTAGCCTAGCATCTCATACTCAGTGGGATTTATGAACCAGCAGCATCAGGTTCTCCTGAAACGTATCAGAAAGACAGGACTTCTGCTCAGCCCTCAGGGTAAAAAATTGCATATTGTTAAAACTTCCTATTTTGAAACTTGAAATAATACTAGACTTACAGAAGAATTGCAAAAATGACATCCGGTTCCCATACATTATTCCTTCATCTTTCCCTAACATTAGCTGCTCACTTAACTATGGTACAGTTATAAAGAGCAAGCAGTTTAGTGTATCTCCTTTGCTTGCTTGGTTGGCTTCTTGTTTTTTATCAGTATCTTTATCTGTTCAAGGTCCGTCCAAGATGCCACATTACACTTAGTGGCCATGTCTCTGAGTCTCCGCCAGTGTGACGGTTTCTGCCTGTCTTGTCCTTCTTGACACTTTTAAAGAGGACTCATTAGGGACTTTGTAGACCATCCCTCAATTTGAGTTTGTCCTATTTTTTTCGTGACTATGATGAGGTTATTGGTTTGGGGGAGACTGCCACAAAGGTGATGTGCCTTTCCCAGTGTGTGGTATCAGGAAGTACATGATGTCACTATGTCTTATTAATGGTCATGTTAATCTTGATCACCTGGTTAAAATGGCATTTGTCTTCTTCTAGTGTAAAGCTACTATCTTTGCTTTTGTAATTAACAAGTATTTTGAAGGAAAATTTTATTTTTTTATTTAATATATTTTATTTTTTATAATTCTTACATCATTTTTCATTTTTGCACAATGTATACATTTTCATTTTGGTTATATTCCCCATACAATTCCACCCCCCTTATTTTGACCCTAATCCCTCCTCTCCTCCCGCCCCCACCCCCACCCCATAGTGTGTCTCTGGTTTATAGTTGCTTGTTGCTTGTTGATTTTGATTTTTTCTTTCTTATAGCTGTTCTTTTTCCTGGTCCCTTATTTAGGTTTTCTAAATTCCTGCTATGGGTGAGACCATCCAGTATTTTTCTTTTTCTTTCTGGCTTATTTTGCTGAGCATGATCCCTTCCAGCGCCATCCATGTTGCTGTAAATGGCATGAGTTTATCTTTTTTGATTTCTGAATAATATTCCATTGAATAATATTCCATTTGTGTATATCTGCCACATCTTCTTGATCCAGTCATCTATTTTTGGGCATTTGGGTTGTTTCCATAACTTACCTATTGTAAATAGTGCTGCTATAAACATAGGGGTGCAGGTGCCCTTTGGAATTAATGTTTCTGTGTCCTTTGGATAAATACCTAGGAGTGGAATTGCTGGATCATATGGAAGCTCTATCTTTAGTAGGTTGAGGAATCTCCACACAGCTCTCCATAGTGGTTGGACCAGTTTGCACTCCCACCAACAGTGCAGGAGAGTTCCTTTTTCTTCACATTCTCGCCAACATTTGTTGTTGCTAGTTTTTTTAATATGTGCCATTCTCACTGGTGTAAGATGGTATCTCATGGTAGTTTTGATTTGCATTTCCCTGACTACAAGTGATGCTGAACATTTTTTCATATGCCTGTTGGCCATTTGCATTTTGGAGGAAAATTTTATTGATGTGCAAGTATCCTATTCTCCTTAAACTTCTGCCCATTGATTGTAGTATTCATCAATGGGTCATGTTTACAACAGTTATTATGGTGGTATTCTAATGGTGATTTTCTGTTTCTATGGGAATCTGCACTTTATTAAGATTTCCTCATTATTTCTGTACCCATTAAAATTTGAAAAGCATCAATCTGTATTATTCATTCCCAAATATAGTGGATCATCATCTTATAGATATCAATTCAGTAGATCTGATTTAGGGCTAAGGAATTAATAGTTTTTTCAAGAGCACCTCCTACAGAATGGGAGAAAATTTTTCCAAACAAGAAGACACATGATCCCATTTTTTAAATGGACAAAGTATCTCAGTAGATAATTCTCCAGAGAAATTATACAAATGACCAATAAGCATGTGAAAAGATGCTGAACATCATCAACCCCTAGGGAAATGCAAGTCAAAAACACAGTGAGATACCACTTCATACACAGGGTGGCAATCAAAAGGATGGACTGTGATAAGTGTTGGCAAAGATGTGAGGAAATATTCATTGCTCATACATTGATGGTGGAAATATAAGATGATACAGCCGCTACAGAGAACAGTGGTAATTTTTCAAATTACCATTGGTAAACAACATTATGTGTGTATGGATATTTTTCAGGCAGAAAATAAGTAAAATACTGTTACATTCCATAAAATACTACATTAAGTGGAAGACATAAAGAATCACATAGTTTACAGTTTTATTTCCATAAAATGTCCAAAATGGCAAATTCGTGGAGACAGGAAGTAGATTGGTGGCTGAGAGTAGAGAATGGGAAGTAACTGCTAATAAGTATAGGGTCTCTTTGGGGGATGATAAAGTGTTCTGAAAATAGATAGTGGTGATGGTTATATAATTTTGAAAATATTGCTAAAACCACTTAATTTTTAATTTTAAAGTGTGAAAATTATGGTTGGTGAATAATCTCTTTTTTTAAGTTCTTCAAGTGGTTCTGACAACAAGCTGGGCTTGGGCTATCATGACTTAAGGCTAACTGCATGGGAATGTGACCTATGCAGTCTTATAGGGCCCCACCCTTAACCCCATATTTGGTTTCACTCTCTACTGTCGTCATCTTGAAGTTCTTAAATTTTTTTCTAGTTGTGTAAGGTACACATGATTTTTTCAATTGAATTTGATTTATATACATTAGTTTTAAGTATGCAATATAATGATTCAGTATTTGTTTATGTTGTGAGATTATCACCATATTAAGTCATATCCATCACCACACATGATTATCACAAAATTTTTTCTTGTGATGAGAACTTTTTACTCTCCTAGTAACTTTCAAATATGCAGTGAAGTGTCACTAAGTAGTCACTATACTGTATGTTATATCCCCAGAACTTACCCATCTTATAACTAGACACTTGTATCCTATGACCTTCACCCATTTCTCCCACCTCTGCTCCTGGCAACCACAAATCTACTCTCTGTTTCTAAGCTTGGTTTTATTAGATTCCACATATAAGTAAGATTATTACAGCATTTGTCTTTTCCTGTCTAACTTCATGTAGCGTAATTCCTCCTATGTTCATTCATATTGTTGTAACTTGAAGAATTTCTTCCTTTTTGTGACTAAATAATATCCCATTATTAATATTTAGATGTATGTGTATGTAAGTGTGATACATATTTGTGTATGATGTATGTGTACACACACATACATATCACATTTTCTTTATCCATTGAACACTTAGGTGGTTTCCATATTTTGGCTATTATAAGTAATACTGCAGTGAATCTAGGAGTGCAGGTTTGTTTTAGAGGTAGTGATTTTGTTCCCTCTAGATAAATATACAGAAGTAGAATTGCTGGATCATATGGTAGTTCTATTTTTAATTTTTTGCGGAATCTGTGCTATTTTCCATAGTGACTATACCAATTTAAATTTCCACTGACAGTACACAAGTGTTCTCTTTTCTCTACTTCCTCAACAGCAATAGTTGTCTCCCTTATTTGTTTTTATAATGGCCACTTAACAGGTGTGAGGTGATATCTTGCTGTG